ATGATGTTTTAGATGATGTTGTTGGCAATATCTTCTGGCTTTTCGATATAAAGCAAGGAAAGACTAGTCGAAATCGAACATTCACTTGTCTTCAAGGAATGAAATTGGATCTGATCAGAGATAAGAGTTCCCCGTGGTTAGTTCTGACAGAGGTTTTTCAAAAGTCACTTTTTCTTGATCAAGCCTTGCCTGGTCTGGCTTTAATGCAGGCCTGGGTCACAAAAGAGTAAGAATACCCAAGTCAAAGCAACCTCAATACTGAGCGGTGGTGGTTACCCATTCTACGAATTCCATTTTATGGAATTCTATGAATTCCATTTTATAGAATGTATTCAACTTGTTGATTTGCTTGGGTTTTAAACAGAAATATGCTTTGATTTAAACAGAAGTATGCTTTGATTGTAAGTCTATAAGTTCTTTTGATTGTAGGTCTAGAAGTCTATAAACACTAATCAACACTTTGCAAAAAAGCAAAAGAAAAATCCACTAGGGATCGAAACCGGTGAGTGCGGTCTAGGACGAACGCCGCTTTCACCACTCGGCCACGGTTGTATCTAGCCGAGACTGCGGGGAGGCCGTTAAGACCCGAATTTTACGAATAAGGCCCAAGACATTTTCAGAATCAGAACAAAACTTAGACGCTTATAACTCTTGACAGATTGGCATTTAATTCGACACTCGACATGATTGATTGACAGATTGACAAAACGGAATATATATTCGGAATCAGCATAAAATTCTGCGTCAGAATGGTGTGAAGCATTTGGCTCAGCAGTTTACGTTCCATTGTTAGTTCAGGAAATGTTCAATTCAGTTCAGTAAGCGGGAATATATATTCTTTAGTGTGTTCAGGTATGTCTCAAAAGAAGCTCATCCTTCAGAGCGATGGGAAGACTGTTGCATTGGACCCGCGCTTTTCAAATACTGTTTTTTCTCAATAAAAACAAATTGTGAATTCAATAAAACAAAACATTTCTTGTCTGTTTTATTCCAAAACTCGACTTCCAATTATCAGATCGACTTGGGGTTGGTTTCAAAATGATCCTTATGAAATTTGGTTATAGAAAAGTGCAATTTATTTTAGCTACTCTAAAGTGTAAAAACATAGAGAAAATCTGGGTCAAATGATTTACCTCACTACCCGAAAAGTCGATCTACAGCCTCTTAATAGATGGTCAGATCTACTCTGCTTAGAATTGATCTGTCCTGCTCCATAACTCAATGTCCAAGCTATCAGCTTTCAGTCAAAACGATCTCTGCCAAGGAACTTAGTCAAAGCTGAGACTCATCAATACTAGCATCCAGTAAAATATTTAAATGAAAATAAAAAAATGCAAATTTTAGGTGGATGACGGTTTCTTCACGGGCACTATAGCAAAAGGAATTCGAGCTAATCACAACTTTAAACTTTATGGAACCAAGTTAGTGCTTATTTTCTTCCTATTATTACTCATTTTGGTGTTTTTAGTTTTCTAGGTGGAATGAGGAAAACCAAACGGAAGCTCACATCTACTCGATAGGACTCATTTGTTTGGTGAGTGAGTTTTAAGTGGCTTAATGAACAATAGAATAACAATAAAAACCAATAGAACACATTTCCATGTTCTCTAGAGTTTGTTATTCGTTTCTCTCAGTATGTGCTAACTTTGAAAAGCACGACAACTCCTATGGTAATGACAGGTTTTAGTATTAACATTGAGAGATGAACAAAGTGCAACTAGATTTGCAGTTTATATCCGAAGGAACCTAATAGATTTGTAGTTTGCTGTTTAGATCTGTCTCTGACTATCTGGCTATTAGGTTGAGCACTAAGTCTTCACCGAGAATTCCTTTCTTTTGCGTTGAGGAATCTGAATAGCGAACGTTCTTCGAACGAACTTTGAAGAAAAACTAAACCATAACCTTTTTCTCAACATTTTCTTACTAATAACAATTGAAGTTTGTTGATAATTGATTTTGATACGTTGGTTTTGATAAACGCCAAAATTTCATTCTAGGGTATGCATCTATAGCTTTGGTCTCCACATACACAAGGATTGATATCTCTCACCTAGAAAAATCCAGCAAGAGATCTACTAAGATAGCTTCTCATGGAAAAATAGACTTTTCCAAATTTGCATACTTTAGTTAGACAGATCGACTCAACATTTTTGATCTTAAATCCCTTAGACACCTCTCTTAGAGACTCTTAGACACCGCTTGGTCACGGATTTAATAGAATGTTTCAAAATTGTAAAGGGCAGGCAACCTGTCCCCCTTTTCTTGAGGTTATTCAAAGTTAATCCCCACGGTTAGTTCAAGGAGTTGTTCTTTTCGTTTTTTAGAATTTCAGTCACCTCCAACCAGTTTGTGTAAAACTTTTCCAATGAAGACTGCCAGTATTTGGATTTGAATTTGGAATCGACTCCCAGAGTTTTGAGAGAGTCAACAGTCTCGAAACTTTTAAATTATCTGTAGATGATCTTGATCTTGAAGCTTTAGTGGATTCTTGATCAGCCCTGATCTTGAGTTATCTGTGCTAGCCATATATTACATACATTTTATCGCGTTGCTTTTTATCGGCCCTTTTCGTGTTATGTGTATGAATTCATTGTATTAGCTTGAAATCTAAAGCGCACTTTATTTTCGGTCCTCAATAGAAGTACCTACAATACGTTAATAGTACCCCACCCCCCATAATGACGGTGCGGAGTGTTGTGTAGTCTAGCTTTGAACGTTTTTCTCGACACTGGTTTATGCTACTATCAGCGCCAGGTATCAAAAAAATAGCCCAGAATTTCAGCTATTTTTGATACTAAAGACGCATTTTGAAAGTACGGGCGCTTTGGAAAAAATGAAATACTAAAAAACTTTTGCGACTACGCGACTGTACGAAGGGGGTGGGGTACTATTACGGTATTTACGGTATCTCTTACAATCTATTAGCTCTAGGTTTGTACAGTGCCGCGTTTCTTTGTTCGACGCATATTCCACTGAGAGTTGAAATACTTGTATCGAGAAGAGGTCGATCAAATCAGGATGATTTCCCGAAGTCGATCAAAGTTGGACCAATTGGAGAAGATGAAATGAGATGAAATGTGCAAATCAAAGTTAATTTTGCTTAGTTTGTTAACTCTTAGAATTTATCGAAAGTACACAAAACTAGGAAAGAGGTGACAACACAAAACGAGGTGACAGCTGTTGTACAATTCAAGAAAAAGACATAATCATCACAAGGGTAACAAATTTTTGAAAGTTTTCTTTTTTTACCAAAAATTTAGAATTTTGAGCAATCAATTACCAAAATTACCAAAAAAACATATTGAGAAGCGAAAATCGCGAGATTTAGCGGCTTTTTTTCACTGAGGGAATTATTTTTGGGCAGGAATGACCCTAAAATGCATGGAAGGGCAAAAAAAAAAAAAGGAATCAACATATTTGATCAACAATCAACAAACTTACAGAGATTCTTTCTGTACTTTGTGCTCTTGCAAACAGTGCAAACAAACAAGCTAGTGTGCGTTTACGAAAGCACAAAGTACACTTCCTTGGATCTCATTAAAATCAAAAAAAAGGAAAAATCACAAAAATGGCACCGAAGTGTTTCAGGAAAATTTCAGGAAAATTTCAGGAAACCTCCTTTAAAACCAAACATAACATCAAAAAACATAAAACTCTTTGGCAATCCGGGTAAAGCGGCCACAAACGAAAGCTTCTTTGTGCTTCTTTCTTCTTTTTTGTGCTTTGTGGTTATGTTTATGGCTCGATAAAGTCGATAAAACCAAAATACAATGAAAAATTTGAATATTACACAATTCCGTTGTAAAAAAAGACATTTATACATAAGAAAGCTCTTCGTCTTTATATGCTAATTTAAGAAAGAGATAACTAAACCCTATAGATATTCAGCTTATCAAAAATTTCAGCCAAAATCTAGCAAATTCAAGTTTTTAATAAGCTGAATGTTTCAAAAATCAAATGATTTGTTGAATCAATCAATGATTTGTAATAAATCAATCAATGATTTGTTGAGCTCATTGCTAAATTCACATAGTCAGCAACGAGATGAGCGAAATCTTTCAAGTTCGCGTATTTTCGATAGTAATCCGTGTCCATAAGTTGGGTGAAATTCGGTCGACTTTCCGCCTCTTTGATCAAACTGAAAATCAAGTTTTGGCTCTCGCACAGTTTTCGGGGATTTTAAACGGGTCGTCACGCTTTGAACGCCTATAACTTTGTCAGAGACCATATTTAGCTTTTTGTATGCATTATACAGAGAATTTTCCAGGCCCTTAAATGATACCAATAGAGCTTGATTAGATAATTCAGTCCATGAAAATCAGAGCCAACTCTGAGCAAATGAGCCCTATCCGACTCGGGTGTCGTCTCGCCTGATTTACATCGGAATGAAAAATCCCGTCAAGCTCTATTTGGTATGATTTAAAAGACTGGAATGTCCCTCTGTACATGATACAAAAGTTAACTAAAATATTATTTCTGGACAAAGTTATAGGCGTTCAAAGCGTGACGACCCGTGCAAAATACCCGAGTTTTCAAAATACAAAATTCAAAAGTTCAAAACATACTCATCAGCTAAAATTCGATAAAATTCCATCATAAATTTCTTAATTAAATGATTTTTTTTTAATTAGACCAACCATCCATTTACGAAATTGATCCTAAGCGGCTCGTATAATTGGTGGTGATGAGAGTGGAGGATCGCCAGGAACGACGAGATTCAATTGAGCGAAAAAGGGGAAGGTTGAGGAAATTTGGAAACGGGAATTTCCCGGTAGCCACCTCAATCTAAATTTTACAATTCACAATAGAAAAACAAGAAATGAATCAGATGAATCAGATGAATCAGATGAATCAAATGAACCAAATGAATCAGATGAATTAGATGAATCAGATGAATCAAATTAATTAGATGAATCAGACGAATCAAATGAATCAAATGAATCAGATGAATCAAATTAATCAGATGAATCAGATGAATCAGATGAATCAGATGAATCAGACGAATCGAATGAATCAGATGAATCAGATGAATCAAATGAATCAGATGAATTAGATGAATCAGATGAATCAAATGAATTAGATGAATCAGACGAATCAAATGAATCAGATCAATCAGATCAATCAGATGAATCAAATGAATCAGATGAATCAAATGAATCAAATGAATCAGATGAATCAGATGAATCAAATGAACCAAATGACTCAGACGAATCGAATTAATCAGATGAATCAGATGAATCAAATGACTCAGATCAATCAGATCAATCAGATCAATCAGATCAATCAGATCAATCAGATCAATCAGATCAATCAGATCAATCAGTTTTTATTCGAAAATCTGACTTACCATCGTGATTCCGGGACTCAGACGTCAGCGCCCGAATGTCGTAGCTCTTTTTCGCGAAGTTGAGGCGTTCCGGGCTGAAAATGAAAAGCCGACTATGGAACGAAATATTTGACAGCTTGGATTTAGAATTTAAGTATAGAATTCAATCCTTATCTTTAGACTACTGTTTAGTTCAACTTACAGCCCATAAGGACGACATCCGGCATCCATTGTCTGTGCGATTGAATCCACCAAATACCCGGAGATCCCAAAGTCGCACAATTTGATTAAACCGCGGCGATCCAACAGAATGTTTGAGGGTTTAACATCTGAAAAATTTCATTGTAAAAGCAAAAGTACTAATGCTTTGAGGTCACGCTTTCTTTGATGGCTTTGTTCTCAAAAAAATCTGAGTCTAGTGTCAAAAACAACAACAGAAAAACGGGGAGTTTAGAAATGGACACTACAAACTACAAACGCTTTTAACTTGCTTTATAACTACCGGATTGACATGATCTATAGCTCAAAGAGAAAAATCTCGAAGCGCTTCCGAATGAATTAAAGTAGAGCTAAAACTGTCAATGCTAAAGAAATTATAGTAGTTTGTAGTCTGACAGACTGTACTTTTAGTCAAAGCGATTGAGTCAAGACTACAAACCACTGTAAATTTCTTTAGCATTGAGAGTTTTAGTTGTACTGATCCATTCGGAAGCTCTTGAGGTTCGTAGTCTTGACTCAATCGCTTTGACTACAAGTACGGTCCGTCAGGCTACAAACTACTATAACTTTCTTTAGCATTGAGAGTTTTAGCTCTACTCTAATTCATTCGAAAGCTCTTGAGATTTTCTATCTTTTGAGCTATAGATCATGTCAATCCGGTAGTTATAAAGCAAGTTAAAAGCTTTTGTAGTGTGACAGGTTGTCATTTTTTAACTGCCAACTTTTCGTTCGTCAACTTTATAGTACCCATGTCTAGATCAATTCCCTGCACCAGATAAGATGTGTTTCCACCGGTTGAACACAAAGTAAACCTCACTCTCAGAAATCTAAGCCAAAGAACGAACCTCGATGAATGATGTGCATCTCGTTTTTCAAATGATCCAACGCTTTGATTGTCTGTAAATTTTTCCATCAATTTGCCATCTTTTAAAGTTTAAACTTTAGATTTTTCAAAAGAAAAAAAAACTCACCGATACAGCCACCGATCCAAGGACTTTTTCATCGAAAAACTTGAAATTCGATGACTCGTGAACGGCTTTGTAAACGAATTCGAGATTGCAGTCCATAATTTCCATACAGACACAGCAGTTGCCCGAAAATTGTAAAAATTACATTCAAAATTACAATATTCGTTGATTTTAAAGAGTCTTTAAGATAATCTCTTTAAGATAATCTCTTTAAGCTAATCTCTTTAAGATAATCTCTTTAAGCTAATCTCTTTAAGATAATCTCTTTAAGACAATCTCTTTAAGATAATTTCTTTTAAAACGAACTTCATGAAAGGTGACTCCGAAGAATTGAACGATTTGCTCGCAGTTGCTCGCCTTTTTGATCGCTTCGACTTCGATTCTCAGCCTCTGCATCGATTTGTTCGTTTCTTGCTCGTTTCCTTGATTTGTGAGCAAACGAACTTTCTAAAATCCTAGCGTTTTCGTTTTTAAGCTAAAGCTTTAAGCTTTAAGCTAAAATTTGTACGCTTTTTTAAAGCTTTTACCTTTACAGCCATGATTTTCCCGGTCTGTCGATGCACCATCTTGCTGACTCGACCGAAAGTGCCCTGACCGAGGAAACAGAGCTAAAAATATTAAACATAGCTAGAAATCAAAATATCTAGAATCTAAATCTACTTTCATTCCTTGTTCTTCACACATTTTTCTTATTCTTATTCAGCTTCAGTTTATTTTTGGCATTTGTTTAGAATTTCTTTAGAATTTCGGGTTTAGAATTTCTTTTTAGACTGGATCGCTTAAATGCTTTACATTCCGCTACTGTGTACGCGTAGTTAGACAGATTACTGTAAATTTACTTATCTTTTAACCATATTCTATTAGTTTGTCAACTAAATAACCAAACTTTTCACTAAAAATTGATTTTACAAATGTTAAATGCACGAAATCAAGGACGAATGAATGGCTTTTGAAGTTTTTTTCTCAATTTCTCAATCACTTCTTTTCATTTCGGAAGCTATTAATGACTTGTTTAATGTCTTTAACACCCTGTGATACATTATTGCATTACTTATCTTTTAACCATATTCTTTTAGTTTGTCAACTAAAGCTTTTCAAAATCTCTTAAAAGCGATTTGATTGAGAAAAGATATTTCTTTCAAATGTTACAAACTAGATCTCAGTTCAATTCAGCCATCATTTTTAAAAGTCACTTTTTCCAAAAAGTTTTGCTATTTTGTATTATCAGAGTTACAACTAATACAACTGAATTTACAATTACTTTAAAATTATTCAGTTTAGCTTAAGGCTTAGGCCAAGTAGGATTAGGCTTAGGCTTAGGCTCAGGCTTAGGCTAAGTAGGCTTAGGTTTAGGCTTAGACTTAGGCTTAGGCTTAGACCTTTTACTTAAGAATCTCGAACACCAGACCTCTTCCAAATCATCATAGGTGAATTGCCGTGAGACGCCCTCCTCAGGGAAAACGAGGCGGTCGGAGATGAATTTTCGAATGTAGTCACTGAAAGTTATACTTGAATTTCGATTTAAATTCGAGTTTGTTTCGATTTTGATTTTAAATATTCATTTTTGCATCTCTAACAAACATTGTCTCTAAATAAGTGCTCCTTGGCGGCTCGGCGACGATAAAGTTGAAGTCGATTTTCGGTGGTGATATTGGCATTTTGAGATTTTGAGACTTTTTAGAAAATTGAATGAAATATTAGAGAAACATTCTGGAAATGAAATTAGTTTTCAGAAGAAGAAAAAAACGTTAAACAAAATGAAAAGGGTGAGGTTCTTGGTTTGAAAACAGGAACCAAAAACTGCATTAGCATAAGCTAGCTCGGCATAAGCTAATTTGCATAGGCTGGCGATCGACTAGGCGAATTTGATGGGTAATCAAGAGTGATAGAACGCTGATTTTTCGGAGATTTTAATGTTTGATCTGCGAAAAAGTGTGAAATCAGTAGATTTGTAAAGTTTTTGAAGGAAATTCACTAAAAAAATTGGGAAACAAAGCATGATTTGTTGTCTCCTGACTGCTGACTGTTGTTTTTATTCTAATTGTTGTTTTTAGTTCGTCAAAGCTTTCTTTCTTTCTTTCTTTGATGACAAATTCGAAAAAGTGACGGAGAAAAGTGCTTAAATGAGGTTTATTTTGTAAATAGAATGTTAATTGTTTGAAAATGATTGGAAATGATTGGAAATAATGTAAATTTAGAGGGTACTGTAGGTTTAGTTGTGGTTTAAATTCGAATTTTCTTTGATTCTTTGATTCTTTTATTCTAATCCAAGCTCTTTCCTTTCACTAAAGTTAAACAAAAAGGAAAAAGGACTAGAAACTATAAAGGCTTTAAAATCTACAGTATACCAGACTATATAGCTAGCGGAAAACTCTTATTTCGCTTGCGTTTTCCGCTGCGGAGGCGGGCAACCCATTCAAATGAGTACTATTGGGTTGATAGAAAAGTTCTTTCCGAATTTTTGGGAAAGTACCTTAAATGCCTAGGTTTCTGCACGTTTTAGCCTAGGTTTCTGCACGGAAAACTAACAAAACGTGAAAACAGCCATTTTTGGCTCTGCTGCCCTTTACTAAAATAGCTGTAAAAACTTTTAGAAAAGAGATATCTCAAAACGGTTTTTACCAATCGATCCGTCTTGAATTCAGCTTTAGGATGAGCTATAAAACGTCAAAAATTCGACAAATTTAAAGTACTCTCCCAAAAAATCGGAAAGGACTTTTCCATCAACCCAATAGTTTGAGGAAAAAGTCCTGACTCAGCTGCGAAAAATTCAATTTTTATGTGCACTGAATAAGAAAAATAACAACAATTATTTCTCAAAGTATAACCCATCATTATCTACGACTTTCTGCCATCGATCTGCAAGCTCTTGGATCTGGCCGAAGTACCACTCAGGTTTCGAATCAAAAAGCTCTTGGTAAGCTTCTCCAACTTCTTTAAATGACTCTTTTTCTTGCAAATTCATCTGGAATACAAAGATCAACATTGGTACAACCCTAAAAGCACGAAAAACCAGCTAAAAATTGAATTTTTCGCAGCTATGTCAGAACTTTTTCCTCAGCCTAATAAAACTAGTATTAATCATGTTAAGTCCGGCTCCTTTTTAAAAATGAACCTAAAAGTCAGAATCCCCGTAGCCAAAAAACCTTAGGGGCAAAATATCGCTTTACTTGAAACAATTTGAACAATTGGAACAATTGAAACAAACAATTGAAACAATGAAAACAAAAGTGTTCAGGAAAACTTTTCTCTAAACACTAGATGAGTCGGGTTCTTTGGAGTGTATTTTTCCACTTTTAGATCGAAACACAGCTTTCCTAATGCACTAAATACATTTCGAAATATATTGCATTTTCATCTCGAATATCGAATATTGCATTAAGAAATCAACAAAAAAAACTAGAGAATCGACTACCAAAAGAGGTATTTTCAGTACAAAGTCCAATACGGTTCCAATACGGTTCCTATTTTGATCTGATACGGTTCCAATACGGTTGCAATACGGTTCCTATTTTGATCTGATACGGTTCCAATACGGTTCCTATTTTGATCTGATACGGTTCCAATACGGTTCCTATTTTGATCTGATACGTTTCCAATACGGTTCCAATACGGTTCAGTACAAAGTACACACGAAAGAACAAATCTATTCGATTCGCTTTACAGTTTCCTACAATTCCTAGACAAAAACCATTTCAACACTCAAAACAAAAATCTTCTCAGCTACAAATCCGTGATTAAATAGATTGGTTTCAAATGATGGAATCCGAAAAAAGAGGTAGAGATGAGATCAAAAAATGAGTTGCGAAACGCGGGGATGAAAAACTGGGGATGAAAAGGGGGAAAGATTGAGACCAGCATAGGACAAAAGGGCTAAAAAGAGAAAGAACACCTAGAATGAGTCATTTTTTCCCTTTCTTCTTTTTTTCTTCTTTTTCTTTCTTTTTTTCTCAAATTTCCCCCATCTTTTGATCAAAATAAGATATCGCGAAAAGGTGGTGTTCTTTGAGGTGAAACGCCTCTTTTTGGTGGTATGTTTTGCAGATTTTTGGCAAATGATCTTTAAAAAATAGATGTAAACAAATTCAGAAATTCAGAAATTCAGAAAATTCAGAAAATGAATCTGTGATTAGTGGAATGAATCTAGAATGAATTCGTCAGCTGAAATTAAGCCTATCGCTCACAAGGTGATTGTAATTTTCCTTTACCCAATTTCGTCGTGCCACTATATCAATATCTAGTTTCGGCTCTTCGGCTAAGATCAATGTGTAGCGTCTGGTCTCTGGCTAGGGAATGTGTAGCTTCTGGTCTCTGGCTAAGATCAATGTGTAGCTTCTGGTCTCTGGCTAGGGAATGTGTAGCTTCTGGTCTCTGGCTAAGATCAATGTGTAGCTTCTGGTCTCTGGCTAAGATCAATATGTAGCTTCTGGTCTCTGGCTAAGATCAATATGTAGCTTCTGGTCTCTGGCTAAGATCAATATGTAGCTTCTGGTCTCTGGCTAAGATCAATATGTAGCTTCTGGTCTCTGGCTAAGATCAATATGTAGCTTCTGGTCTCTGGCTAAGATCAATATGTAGCTTCTGGTCTCTGGCTAAGATCAATATGTAACTTCTGGTTTCTGGCTAAGATCAATGTGTAGCTTCTGGTCTCTGGCTAGGGAATGTGTAGCTTCTGGTCTCTGGCTAAGATCAATGTGTAGCTTCTGGTCTCTGGCTAAGATCAATATGTAGCTTCTGGTCTCTGGCTAAGATCAATGTGTAGCTTCTGGTCTCTGGCTAAGATCAATATGTAGCTTCTGGTCTCTGGCTAAGATCAATATGTAACTTCTGGTTTCTGGCTAAGATCAATGTGTAGCTTCTGGTCTCTGGCTAGGGAATGTGTAGCTTCTGGTCTCTGGCTAAGATCAATGTGTAGCTTCTGGTCTCTGGCTAGGGAATGTGTAGCTTCTGGTCTCTGGCTAAGATCAATGTGTAGCTTCTGGTCTCTGGCTAAGATCAATATGTAACTTCTGGTCTCTGGCTAAGATCAATGTGTAGCTTCTGGTCTCTGGCCGCCATGGCTTGTAGCTTAGTCAAGAGATTAAATCCCGCCAGCTAGATTATTGGTCCTTTTTTCCATATCTATCTATCTATATATATATATATATATATGGGTTTTCCCTACATTGGGAGCTTAGGTATTTTGCTTGTGTCTTTTTTGTCCCACATTATTCTTGTAAAAGTACTTTGAAAATTGGTCTTCAAAGTGCAAAAAATCGCATGTAGTGAAAGAGATTTGGATTTGGATCCTTTTGCTTGGATTAACCATCGATGCGCGGTGAAATTTCGGCCTAAAAATTGTTCTACTTATTTCAAGGGTCAAACAAACCGTCAAACAAACAGCGAAACAAGCAAATCTCAAGACTTACAAGCCTGTAAGTCCTCAGATTTTACGTCCTGCTTCACTCCCGGTCAGTTCAAGACCGGAAGTGAAGTAGCTCACAGCCTTTGGAAATATTGACACACCAGGAATTACGGCAAAATGCATTTAATTTTACCGACAAAATGCCGTGATATCTAAATTGCAAAAAAACTGAGGAAAGTGCAAAAGTTTGGAGTTTGGAAGCTGAGCGAAATTTGGGGCATATTCTAGTTATTCTAAGTACAAATGAAAGTTCAAAACTGTAAAAAACTGAAGGAAAAGTGTTCTTTGAACTAAATCCCTCTTTTAAACCCGTCGAAAAAAATTCGCGGTTCAAAAAAGCCACGACCTTGGCCGAGACAGGCAAAAGCGCGTAATTTTTTTCGTTCTTTTCCGTTTTTTCTTGTTCATTCTTGTGGGGCAATATTGATTGGAAAGTGAAAAGGAAAAGGAAAAAGAAAGAAGAAAGAAATGATGGAAAAAACTTATCGAGTTTGATTTTCTTTCTTGAAAAGAGGAATGTTTCAATGAAATGACAATTCTGATAATGGGATTGAACTGACAATTCTGATAATGGGATTGAACTGACAATTCTGATAATGGGTTCAATTGAAAACGAGATTTACGTGATTCTGATGTAAGATTTCAAGGAATTTGAAAGAAAAGAAAGAAAAGAAAGAAAGAAAAGAAAGAAAAGAAAGAAAAGAAAAGAAAGAAAAGAAAGAAAAGAAAGAAAAGAAAGAAAAGAAAGAAAAGAAAGAAAAGAAAGAAAATAAAAAGTCCTGATTGTTTATTTTGTTTCCAAGGAGCACTTTGGGTGTTTTGAATCAAATTTACGGGAGTGAGATCAGAGTTGAGTCAATTGTTTTCTTTTCAGAGTGTTTCAATGGCTCTACTAATAGATGACAGTCAGCTAATGAAGAGTTATAGATAACTCGAAGGTAAAGAATGATAGGAAATAGACAGATAGCTACAGTAATCCTCAACTAAACAACGAGTTAACTTTTTAAGCTATTTAAGCTATTTAAGCTATTTAAGCTATTTAAGCTATTTAAACTTTTAAGCTTTTAACTTCTTTTTAAGCTATAAAGTTTAAGTTCTTTTTATGCTATAAAGCTTCAGTACTTGTCCGAGATTCTCACCCACAAATTCAGCTATTCAATACCTTTTACATTTACATTCAATACCTAAATTTGCCAACCAATTGGACAAGAACCCAATCGATTTCTGCGAACAACGGTTAAGTATGTGCCGAGG